AAATCATTCAAATGTCAATCATCACACTGACATGCATTTCTTTTTGATTTATAATTTTTCTTACACTTTTACACTAATTCTGGTTAGTTTATTGTTTTAACAACTTATTAATTAATTCCCTTAATAATTAATTAATTATAAAAGGGAATTACAGGGTTACATGCACTCTAAAAAATGCTGGGTTGTTTTAACCCAACTTTGGGTCAAATATGGACTAACCCAGCCGTTGGGTTAAATTTTTACATTACATTTTTAACCCAACATTTCGGGTTTGTCCATATTTGACCCAAAATTGGGTTAAAACAACCCAGCATTTTTTAGAGTGTGAAGAGTTCAGATGCAAAAGCCTCTAAATGCCATTTGAAATTTTCTTCTTTAATGATGATTTTTATCAAACTTGTATATTTAAGTTCAGTGATTTCACTTAAATGGCAATGATAAATGACAAATACCTTATCTTGTGAAATGTGCGGTCACAGTCGCTCCCTATACACGCAGTACACTTGATTGCAATGTAAATAGCAAGCTTGATTTTAAAATCGATTTCATAACGCTGTATGTTGATAGCTCCCTGATGTGATGTCGGCAAATTATATACAAAATAATTACCCAACTAGAGAATGCAAAAGCATTGAAATTTACTTTTTCCTTCTATCACATTTTTTTCTGTCACTATGTCTCTTTAGGGGCTCCGTAGATTGGGTCATTTCCTTTTCGAACATAGTATTCGGTTTGTTTCATGACTCTCACAGTCATTCTAACCACGATAATCGCCTTGCTGTACAATTCCTCTAATCGTCTCAGCCAAGCATTCTGGCATATTGTGTTCTGCATATTTCACACAAAGCCTGACTCCTTTTCCACACTTTTTCAGGCTTTTGACAGCTTTGTCTGCAATAACAGGTGTCTCCTTATTCTACCACATGCATCCTTGATTCCTCACTACCGAAGGCACAAAAAAAGCTATAAAAAAAATCCACAGCTCAAATCAGGCAGATGTTGGCTCATTTTTGGTTTTCAGGGCCTCCCTTTTCAGTTTCAGCCCTCTCCCGCCTGCTTTCCACCCTCCCACCCCCCTCCGGAGCGCAGTATCGACGAGGAGCCACGACAGGAGAATCAGAGAGGGCCATCTGATCTAACTGACAGGTCCCTGGCAGATGTTTGCAGCTTTGTTGACATTTTCCAGCAAGCCCACTGAGCATCTACACCGAATCCTCATCTTACAAACCTAAAGCCTAGCAACTCAGATGAATACGCAGACCCCGCTTTCATTCATTTATACAGGTTATTTATTTACAGATCTTTGTAACAGCCAATTTAACTCTTTGTGTTCTTAAAATAAATCACATTTCCACTTATATCGTTTAATTTCTGACATGACTTAGGCTGAAAAATCATGGCAGTGAATGCCAAGTCAGAACTTAATTAAATCAGACAGATGATTTCATGCATCAGGATTAAACTTGGGCTGGGAATTGCTCCAAGCTCTTTTAATACAGAATTTCCTTTCTTTCCCTTCCACAGAGATTGCAAATTGCAAGTGGACAGGTATCTCCGACCACCTTAATCCCACCGAGCCGCCCCCCCGTGTCACCTGGGCTCCATCGCCAAATTGGTTTGAACTCCTCCGATTTTACAGCACACGTCCAGATGTCAGTAAGGCTGTGAGATCTGTCGAGGAGCTGTCAGGGTGAGTTTAGGCCCCTGCCCTCGCTCTGGACATGGCCCTTACAGGTCTTGGATCAGGGCGGAGTAAGAGGGGACTTGTGCTCCCCGCTCTCCTCGACCTGTCAGCCATGTTTAGCACATCTGCGTGTGACAGAGGTAAGATGGAGAGAACCACTTTCAACTCTTCCCTCTAGATCAGTCAGGGAATGGGCGAGGGTCAAATGAAAGCATTTGGAAATGCATGAATGTCCCTTCATTTTTTTTTGAACGTTTTTTTTTTTTTTGGAAGGCCCAAATACACGACCATACAAATTAAATCTCATATACTTACAACGTCTGCATTTATTAAATCAAATACACATTGTGAAATAGTACTTTTAAATCATTCCGATATGCTGATTTGCTGCTCATGGAAACATACTTATTGTTATCAATGTTGTTGTGCTTAATATTTGTGTGGAAAATGTGATCCATTTTTTTCAGGATTCTTTGTAACATTGTTTGTACAGTCATATTTGGTCAATATAATGCGTCTTAAAGTTTTAATTTGTTTAGAAACGACCAGAAATTACCGATCCTAAACTTCTAAAAGGTAGTGTGGAGAAAAAAAAAAAAAAAAACATTTTCTGCAAAAATAATTAATACAACCTAAAATGTCCCCAAAAAAATGAATATTACGTATTCCTACTGATTTAAAATTGATTAACTCATTTATAGTATGATTTAGCTCCAAAAAAGACACTGTATTTACTTCTGAAGCTGTGTGATAGTGATCCATATGAAGAAAACAATGAATAATATTAGGTATTTCTTCAATAGTCCTGTCTCCTAGAGCTCTGACATACCATTCCCACATGTCTAAATAAAATAAATTTTAATGTTTTATTATAACATCAATCCAGGTTTAACATAACTGACACCAAAACATCTGTTTTCACTTGTCATGTGACCTATCATGCACCACAGGACTCCTTTTGTACATATAATACAGGGTTTAATTGGCTGTATGTTATGGTAAATTATGACAAAAGTTTCATTTTGTGGTCTAAAATCCCTTTTTCTGGGCTTCAGCTGCTATCGCTATTTTTGACTCGAGTGTTTATTTTCCACAAAACCCTCAAGTGTTCGGCCAGGTCAAGGAGCTCATGTTAACACTTTTCAAACAACATGTCCCAAGCCCTAATCTATTCTCCTGATGTAATTCATATTTTAAAACCTGCCCTTACTTTTTATTTCACTAAGCCAACACGTTTTTTTTTTTTATCTTTCGCACTGCAGTTTGACAGCCACTGACAAGTGAAGTGAAAACCCTCTCATGCAACCTGCCCTCATGAAGCCTGGGAAGGTGAAATCAATACGGTTTGTATTTTAAAAAGGCACTGATACGTGAGCACGACTCAAAATTACTACCTTAGACTGACATGCAGAAGTTATGATGATAAAGAAGTGACTCAAATAAAGGACAAAAGACGATTTGGCAGCGGCAATTGATTTAGACACTGATATTCTGAAAGCTTGGTGCGGGCAGTAATTGACAAGAGTATCAAAAAAATTCAATGGACAAAAATAAGAGTGCAACAAAATGGCATTTCTAGTGAAATGGTGTTGGTGAAGGTTGACTGAACTTCAGGTTTCAGGTGACCCATTCACATAGCTTTCCTTTTCACCCCCTCTCTCTTTCTCACAGTTCTTTTTTCTTCTCCATTACTCGGACGCTGAATGATGGTGATTTGGTTGAGGCCCAGTGAGTGTCTGAGGAAAATTGGTTGGTTGATAAAAACGATGCTATCAAAGAGGGCTACTTTCTCATTTACATTTAGATGAGTATTGATTATTTATTTACTCAGTGGAGTGGGATTCTTTTCCAATCTTATCTCTCTCTCGTCTTGTGCTTGTCACCTGGCTGGGGTGGGGGGGAAAGCAAGCGAGAGATAGAGTTCTTGACACCACTCGAGGATAACAGCATTTTGCTTCACAGAAAAAAGTTAGAAGGGGAGCTCTCCCTTTGTCTCCCTTTTCTCTCCTCTCGTTTCTTTTCCTCCACACCAATTTTGACAGAAGAAGAAAGTTTGCAGAATTAAAACTGATAGCCCTGGTTGAAAGGGTACAGGTGACAAACTCTCAATTTGCTGAGTGGAATTTGACATGCAGTAATGGTTGGAGGATTTCCGAGAGCAGTGCGGTATATTTATTGATGTAACAGATTTTTGTTGTTCTTTAGTATAATTTTATGTATTCGACATTGTCAAACAATAGCGTGTGAACTTTTTGTTATCAAATTTCTTCTTTCAGGCAGATTATTAAAAGTGACAATGAATTGAATTAACAATCATGCCGAAAATTCTATTACTGTAAGCGGAGACTGGGGCAAGTGGTCACAGTAGTTTTTGCCCAAGCAAATATCTCTTGGGGTCAGTTTTTTTTTTTTTTTTTTTTTTTTTTTAAAGTAACATACGGCTACTAAAAAGCTACTGGTCATTCAGACGTTGTTGCCCAGAAAATAAAAATGCAGTTAAAGAGCACATGACAAAATGCTTTGATAATGGAAACAACACAGGGAAAAAAGGTGTAAAAATTGTACCTTTAGGGGTACAACAGCTTGTCACTGGGACAGTCCCCTTAAAAGGACATTCCTTACTCCTAAAAGGTGCATAGTGCCTTTGAGTACAAATACGTACATTAAGGTACTACTCAGAACCTTTTAATGGTAAAAAAAAGTACAAATATGTCCCAGTGACAATCTGTTGTACCTCTCTATTTTTACAACCTTTTTTCTCTGTGTGAATGGAATGCCATTCAACAGCCCATTGAAGACTTGATGGCCAAATTTAAACAGCAAAACAAAAACTGTTATAAAATTATAAAATGTAAAACAAAAATAATAATAAAATAAATAAACTACAATATTTCCCCCAATACTTTAGTTTTTTTTTTTTTTATATGTGACATGAATGTTGTTTATGATGTTTCTATATATATATATATATATATATATATATTTTTAAATCACTGTTTCTACAAAATTATTTAGCAGAACAACTATTTTCAAAATGTGTAATAATAAGAAATCCAAAATCACCAAATCAGCATATTAGGATGATTTTTGAAGGGTCATATGACACTGACAACCTGAGTAATGGCTGCTAAAAAATAAAATAATAATAATAAAAAAGCTTTTCCATCACAGAAATAAATTACATTTTAAAATAGATCACAAACAGTTATTTTAAATTATAATAATATTTCACAATATTCCTGTTTTTACAGTATTTTTGATAAATATAGAACATAAGAGACTTCTTTTTGGAACCAATGAAAAAAATCAAATCAACTCCATGTCTTCCGAAAGGTAGTTTATATATAAACGTTGGCATTTTAGTGTGGCACACAATTTGCCTAAAAACCTTATAGTCAATGCGATCCTGTGACCACTTGCCCCGGTATCCCTTACATCGGCTATTCCTGCCTGTACTGTATACCTGTATCCTTCCTCAATGTATGGATGGTACATGTTTGCAGTGGAGACAGCAGCAGGATGGGGGTCCGTAGCTCTCTGTGGTGGTAAGGGACCCCTGACAGACCCTGCCTCTTCCTCTCAGCGCTGTGATGGAGAGTGAGCCGTCTCCTGAGGTGGCCTCTGTCAGCTCTGCTTTGTTTCAAGAGGAAGATAGGTAGCACAACCACTGCAGTCTGCATAAGCCACCCATCTCCCTGCCCTCACCCTGTGGGCGACGCTAGGCCTGGGACATCCCTGCTAACACATGCAGGGCGGACCTAGAATGTGTCACAGAAAGATGCTCATTAGCATACTGGTCTTACAGTCAACTTTAAGTGTTCATATTATCTAAAACACATTCATTCATCTAACACAGAGATCAATTTCTTCTAAAGTTAATCTTCCATCTGAATCAACATCTGTTAGTTTATAAGGATGAAGTGGCCCAAAAACATGTGAGTTTGGGTTCAGGTGATTGATTGGCTGGGCGTGACCTCACAAAATGATGATGGCCAATCTCATGAATATTAATTATCTTATGCACAGATAATTTAGCATCATCTTTTAGAGTTTGAAATTGAGCAGATAACATGGCGACGCTTTGGATACTTTAATAACAAATGCAATTTGATTAAAAAAAAACACACACAAACATGCAGCCTTAAAAATAAACTCTTTCACTCTTCATAATTGCAACAAGTTATTTTATCAAGCTTCTTAAAAAATGACTAGTATGTTTTTTGAGCACCAAATCAGCATATTAGAATGATTTCTCATATCTTAAAATTACATTTTAAAATTAAAATAGACAACAGTTATATTTACGTGTAATAATATGTCACAATATTACTGTTTGGGACTGAATTTTTGATAAAATAAATGGAACCTTGGATAAGAGACTTTTTCAAAATATTTATTCTTACTGAACCCAAAAATGTTGCATATTTAAAATTATGTTGAATCAATGGACTAATAACTTTTTTCTCCACTCCTCCATGTAGGAACTTCATAGTAAGAAGGACCTACTGTAATCTGATTGTCCATTAAAGGAGTAGTTCACTTTTCAAAAAACTTTTGCTGATAATTTACTCACTCCCATGTCATCAAAGATGTCCATGTCTTTCTTTTTTCAGTCGAAAAGAAAATTATTTTTTTGATGAAAACATTCCAGCATTTTTCTCCAAGGTCCAAAAGATTCAAGGTCCAAAAGACACTTTCAGTGCAAACTGCAAACTGTTCAAAGGGCTTTAAACAATTCCAAACGATGAATAAGCGAATTATCAAGCGAATTATCAATCTTATCAAGCGAAACGATCGCTCATTTAAAAAAAAAAAAAACAAGTTTAAGTTTTATAAGATCAAATGCTCGCCTTGCTCTGTACTGTGATGCGCATTCGTGACTCTCCTGTTCGAAGTCGTTCACCAAAATTAACGAATCTTTTTCCCAGTCCGTTTGTTCGTTTCGTTTGTTGAATGAAACAAATGACTCGGAAAAAGATTCGTTCATTTTGATGAACAAGTTCAAACAGGAGAGTCACGAACGTAAACGTCACGAATTTGAGGACCTTTTTTGGACCTTGAACCATTTGGTTCCCACTGAAGTACATTATATGGAGAAAAATGCTGGAATGTTTTCATCAAAAACCTTAATTTCTTTTCGACTGAAGAAAGAAAGACATGGACATCTTGGATGACATAGGGGTGAGTAAATTATCAGCAAATGTTTTTTCAAAAGTGAACTACTCCTTTAATGGCAATAACAAGTGTATCATGTTGTTTGACATCTTGAACTGGCAAATTGGAACTTACTTTCTTTCTTTCTTTCTTTCTTTCTTTCTAACTCAGTTACAAATGACCCCTTTAAACAGATTACAATAAGTCAAACTCAGGGCTAGACAAAGTGTTGTCCAATACTTACCACATCACCACTAAAACAAACATCTGTCTGACTTACCAGACCTAAATGTCACTAAATGGATGTAAAGATGCATTTGGCAAAGCGCTCAGGGTGATTAACTCTGTGGGCCTAAAATGGGCACTGACTACCAGAGACTTCCATCGCTGCTCAAGAATTGGGCATCCATTTTTCTTTGTTAGTCAGTCAGTCATTAGCCTAGTTACACATCTGGATCCCAACAGCACTTTAAGAATATGGACTGCTCTGACGAGGAGGAGGAGGGGGGGGGAGCTAATTAGCCAAACTGGAGAGGAACATCTTGTTTTCCTAGCCCCCCTAATGGATTAGACCAAGGTCTTTTGAAATGCAAACTTATCAAGGAGACACAGTTAGAGGAGCTGTCCCCTTTGGAGTTTCAAGTCCCTGTCTACCGTCTGTCCTCTGAGTTAATGAGTAAACATTAGTATTGGCTTTACTCTATCACTTGCTACGCAGCTAAACCTGAAGAAAGGGTAACTGCGTTTAGATTCTGTGTTCGATTTAACTCGCTCAGTCTAAAAGCCCAAATGAATTTTGTTTCACCTTATAACTGTCCGTCTTTTCCACTATATTTGAAAAGAGGTGCTTTCAACATGCTTTGTTGAAAATGCCCTCGAGGACCAAGGCCTTTTCTCTGTTAGTGCCAAAGATGGCAGAGACTTTTCTGACCTTTCAGGAACCGCTTCTAAAAGGGTAAACATTGCCAGAGTTTTTTTTTTTTTCCCCTTTCGTTGGATGACAACTTTATTATATATTTCAAACATTTCTCCATCAATGTTATCAAAATGAAATTCTCATTACTGAAGCTGAAGCATGAGATCACTTGGTATTTTTGTTATTCCCTTTCAGGTCTCAACTTTAAAATGAGAAGCTTTCAGAACTAGTTGGGATTGAAAAATATATTAAATTCATTTCCGAATGCACTTGCAATCTTTTCCGTCCTAGTCTAGAGCAAAAACAGGAACGGCATGGAAGGGAAACTAATCCGATCTTCTTCAATGTTATTGTATAAGTTTCATTTCATTTCAATGCATCTCATCCCTACTATATATATCGGTATCTCTTAAATAGAGGTCACCTGTCCAACAGTAGAAAAAAAAAAGAGTTCTCTGCTAGTGTTGGGCTGTGTGGAAAGGACTGTGAATATAATTGGACTTCAGTTAGGGCTTTCTAAATCCAGCTCTTTGGCATGACCTTGGAATAATGGCAGCACTAGATGAATAGAGAGGCAGAGGGGTTCATAAACAGCTGAATCTGGTCTTTTGTGTGGGCTGATCTTTAGAGGAAAGACAGACAGGGCTGGGATTGTTCACCAGACGGGAGAGCTGGGTTCACTGTGCCCTTTGTCATGAAAAGTGTGGCATGACCTCAGGAGTTTTGTGCACATACACACACGTTTGTGCACCTATCATTAAGAGGACATTCAATAGGCCTAATGGTTTTTATACTGTACATATATACTGTATATTCTATCCCCTAACCTCAACCTACCCATCAGAAGACTTTCTACATTTCTTACATTTTAATAAAACATGTTTTATATGCTTTTAAGCCAATTTTAATTACGAGGACTTGAGGACGAGGAATAGTCCTCAAAAAACAAGTTTACATTGTAGTACCAGTGTAATACCCATCAATATACAAATTTGTGTTCTCATAGATCATATAAACAAACACATACACACACACACACACGCACACACACACACACACACACACACACACACAGGAATGTAGCTTTTTTCTAAACTCACAATGTATGTTTAACCTTAGATTTGTTGTTGTCCTACACTGCTGTAGAATAGATAAGGTACTATTAAATATTTGAAATATCCCTCATAAGGTTTTTGGTCAATAAAAGGTATTTTGTACATATAAATAAATAAATGAATGAAGGTATAAATATATAAATAAATAAATAAATGTACTTTGTTTCCTGTTCTGCTGTAGAACAAATAAAAAAAAAAAAATATGCAATATTATAGATTTTTGAAATGTTTATAGTTGTTTATAGTAAATATGTTTAAAAATAAATAAAAACATTTAATGAAAAAAAATTCCAACCAAAAAACTAAGTAATAAATCAAAACGAAATGGTGTTTTTTTTTTTTTTTTTCAAAGTACATTTGCGAGAACATTTAGCCAATGCGGGCCCCTCCCCGTGCCGTCCCCTGGTGCAGTTGTTGTGTGGAGCGGTGAGCCTAGCGGGGTGTAAACAAACACAGTCTCCCTCAATGTCCTGACAAGGTAGGACCCCGGCCTGCTCTTGACCCCACATTAAATCCTCATTATGCCTAATGTAATCTGAGCCCAGCTCCTGTGCCACAAAAGAAAGATCAATTAACGTGATTAGTGGCACAACCACAGAGACGTATAGGCCCATCAAATCGAAATTTGCTCTGTGGCATTGTATTGTTTAATTTTTGCATTAACTTCATTTTTAACTGGGATGAAAGAGCTGTCTTTATGTTGTCAGTCAGGTCAGGTGTTTTCATTGTTTTGTCCAGCTGCATTTTTTAATGTGTGCGTGCATGCGTGTTTGTGTTATCAATACATTAAAAGCACACCACATTTGTACATGACACACAGGGCTAATACATCACCGCACATCTAAAAGTGTGGCCGTGGATATATAAAGCTCCTGTTGCGGTGGCTGGCTGATTCATGGCGTTGAGTCCTCATTAAGTGTTGGTTGTGTTTTCTACCAGGTTTGATTCGGTTTTTAATTAATTTTCCGAGATGGCTCTCGGAGCTCCGTTGTCATATTAAAGTCCTGTGAGCTCTAGACCTGTCAGAGGGGAAGAAACGGTTATGGCTCATCCAGAGATTAATATCTCATCACTGGTGATGTATTACCTTGATAAACTGCGGCACAAGGTTCACTAATCAACATTTTAAAAATATTATGCATTTCTGCAGTTTTCTCCTGTATGATAGATGAACATTTGAGTGGACAGTGAACAGTCAACAAGCTGCAGTACCTGCACTACATCTCCAGGATTCAATTATTGCCAGTTGTTTGGGGGTTTTTTTTCTATAAAAAAATCCAGCAAATATGGTGAAATATCTCATTTATCATTCTGAGATATCAAAATATTATCTTAACAGCATGAGGTATGTTTTTGATTGTTTTTTTCCTGATGGGCAAGTTAAGTATATCAAACTTTAAATACCTCAGTTTATCCAATCCAAAGTTTTCATTAGTAGGAATCATATTGTTATAGGGAGAATTTCTAATATATTATACTGCTGCAAAAAACAAATAATTATTTTGTTTAAATGTAAACATTAAATTTAACATTAAAAAAAATCCTTAAAATAATAGGCTTTAATTACATTCAATTTGTTGTTGTTGTTCCTTCAAGCAAAACCTCACTAAAAGGTACAAAAAAGTGATGAAAAAATATTAAAAATGTTCCCCTAGAATTGCTTGTCAAGATTCTGATTTTAGAAATGTTTATTTACTATAAAACAAAGCCATAAATTGGGATTTTTAAGTGTACTGTATTTTAAAGTCTCATTTGTTCTCTTGAGGCTGTTTCACAACCACCGTACTGAGGCAAAGAATATGACCAAGCTCTCGACAGGATCCTGTGGCACTAGAGGTTTGGCCAGCAGGATAAGTGTTAGCGTGTCTATGCATGCGATATTAGCTCCCAGTGAAGTTTGACTTGGTGTGTCTGGAAGCTGTCAGATGAGAAAGCTCTAAGA